CATTGCATTTTAACTTTTATAATCAAACTATAGACAAAGCACAAAAAACTTAATCATGATTACAGAACACAGTTATCAACTTTGACAATATAAAAGACCAGATGACAGAAGTTGGGAAGTTGACAGTGGGGAAGAAGGCTGAAGAAAAGATATTCTCATCTAACAGAGTTCTGGTCCAGAAATATTGTTTCTAATTCATGAAACAAGAAATAAAAGTGTTACTTAAATTCAGAAAGATAACCAATAAAGAAGCTAAAATACAACTATATTAGAAGCAGGAAGGAAGGAGTTGAACATGGTGTAAGTGAGCTAAATCCTCATCTGTCATAACATCATTGGGTAATGTCTGAAATTGATTAAAAATGGCCACATAGCATATTATTTAGATACGGAAATGATCAGAAGAAACAACTAAAAGTGATTGCTAGAAGTGAGAGCAGGGGTGGGAATATGTGGGACAGTAGACTTGTTTTACGTAAACCCTTCTGTACTAATTTGAGTTTTCTAAACAATGTACATGCATTATTTCTATTTTTAAATGAACATGTATTTAAGAAATAAATTTTTAAAAGCACTAAAAAAAGGACATTCCTGCCCCCATGCTCTTCCTCCAAAATTCCCTTGTCCCTCCAGACCTACTGCAGCAGAATATAAAAAAGTTTGAGAAACCTTGAACTCTTTCCCTCCTGCCTCTCCCTTAAATGCAGCTGCTGCTCCAGCCAAACTGGAATGTTTGTTAACCTAAACATGCCATATTTACTCCCACTTCCTTGCTTTTTTGTTTCCTAGGCCTGGAATGCCCTTCCTCCTCATCTCAATCAGTTGGAATCCTCCCTATTCTTCAAGGCTCAGCTCAAATTCCACCTCCTCCAAAGTCTTCCTTAGTCCCCTGATAGAACTTCTCTCTCTCTCCTCAGGGGCTCCCATAAGTCTTTATTCCTGCCATAATTATGTTACTTACGTGTACTTTTCTCAAGCTCATTACTTAGGTCAGTGTTTCTCCCTCATCTTTCCCCAACCATCTTTCACACCAGCTGCCAGAGTGCTCTTTCTAAAATATCAGTCTGATTCTGTCACTCCCCTGCTTCAAATCCTTCTATGGCTTCCCATTGCCCATAGGGTCAAAGTGAAACTTGATCGCCTGGCTTCCACCATTTCTTCCACCTCATGAGACAATGCTCAGGCCACCCAAAATCCATGCACTTTCTCACTCTTCATATAACTTTGCTTAGGGACCTCCTCTGCTTGGAATATTCTTTCCTCCCTTTCCACGTGGTAAACATCAACTCTTTCAACACTCAGTTCAGGTACCCCCTCCTCTATAAAGGCTCTCCTGACTAATCCCCCACCCCTCCCTACCCCAGGGAGAACCATCCGATGCTTCCTATATGCTCTCTCTGTCTCACTCAGACTTTTGTTATATCACACTTAATGCACTTATCGTACTTATGAGTCCTCAATTAGATTGTGAACTCCTGGATGGTGGGGAGTATGCTTTATCATCCCTTTTATCCCCAGAACCTAGCACAGTGCCTGGCATACAGCTGGAACTCAATATATGCTTACTGAACGAATGGATGGAAAAATGATACGAGTGGGTAAAGGAATGAGCAAAAATTGAGTAAATATATATTAGTATACATACTAATATATATTAATGATTGAATAAGTGAATAAATGAATGAGTTATGAGTTAGTGTATGAATAAGTGAATGAATGAATAATGGGTGGATGAAGGAATGAGAAAAATAAGTCAATAAATAAATGAATGAAAAGTACCTGTACCAATGAGGGAATGAGAAAAAGAATGAGTGAATTCTCATCTCTTTTTTCAAACCCACCTGGAAGATCTTCTGCCCTGCTTTCCACCCGTCTAAACTGCACACCACAGTGCTAACCTCTTTTAGATTACAAGGAACAAAGACACACTCAGGTTAGTAATGGGGATTTATTAAAGCATTCACAGGGAAATAAGGAAGACAAGAACAGCTACATAGGCAGCCTCACAGAAGAACAGAAACTTGAAAATGGTTCATGATCCAAAGCAGACCTAGAGCCTGGTTTATCACCCCCTCAGCTGCAGGCATCTGTTGCTTCCTTCTCTAGTGTGTCCCAAAATGGTGACTCAACTACCTCCTGGCTCTATTTCTACTACTCCTACTGCTACTAACTTCTGCTCCTCTCCTCTCTAGCCCATGGCCTTTGCTGCTTCACAACTCCTAGATCTCCTGGCTCCTGCAGCTTCGGTTTCTATTAATCCAGGGCTTCTCTGTGTTGGAGTTTCTGCTTGCCTTGTAACTGCTGCTGCCTCTGATTCCTGTTGCCAGCTATCTTGTGGCTCTTGCAGTCTCATGGCTTCTGCTGCCTCATGGATCTTGTTTATTCAAGCTTTCTGCTGCTTCATGGATCTCACAGATTCAGGGTTGTCTCTCATGGTTTCTATTCCCTTGTAGCTCCTGCTACATCATGGCTCCTATTGCTTCATAGCTTCTGTGTCTGGCCCATCTTGCCTTTCTGCCATGCTTCTGCTACCCTGTTGCCCCACGATCTCACAATACAAAAAGTCTCATGACCTCTGCTGACGTAGGGTTTCTGCAGCTTTCCATTGGCTTTTGCTGTGCCAGTGAGTTTCTGGCTACCCACTTCTGCCTCACTAAATTCTAGTAATTGTTCACTTTCTCTGAATGCCTCACATTCAGGCTCCCTGAAAGGGGGTATGATTGTTCCATGTATTTGCCATTTTATACAGGCCATCCCTATGAGGCCGAGTTCTTATACCAGTCCATTGAATAGGCTGTTGGCCAGCCTAGAGACTGGCCGTCCTTGAGTCCGATACTATCCCAATCTGATCATATATGGCCAGGATTGTGAAGCCATATGCTACAGAGCTTGGCAACTTATGCTTAAGAAACCCCTAAAAAGAGTCTGTGGTTATGGTAGGTTTGATGAGGATTTCCAGAAGGGAGCAATGTAATTGGCAAGCATCTTGTTTGGCCTGTTCAGAACATTGATCTTCAAGGCTCAACCTAGTTCCCACCTTCCCCCTGACCACCTCTGCCTGTCCTGATCTGCAATGGGATAGATCTGGCTCCACCGTGTCCTAACAGTGGGTCCTTGGGCAAGTTCTTGCCCCTCTGAGGGCCTCAGGAAGGGGTTGGACAAAGTCTCTAAGTTCCCTTACAGGTCTGTCATTTTGGACATCTCAACTTTGTTATTGTATAAGGGATTTGAGTCTTACCTGGGACAGCCCTCAAAAATCTCTTGAGGTAGGAATAAGGGAGACAGAGTCCTGGCTTGGAAGAGCCTCACTGCACACAGGAGGTGCTTAGCCAAGATTTACTGAACTGGGTGACTGAATCAATGGTTCGGGGTAGGGAGGGAGCACACAGAGAATGTTTATTTAACTTAAGGGAGACATTCCAGTTGCTGAGGAGGGTGGAAGGAGATTCTAATTCAGAGATGGAGAATGATTTGGATAGGGTAGGAATCCTGGATATTAATGGATACTCACTCTATCGTCTCAGTCACCCTCCATATCCAACAATCAGTTACCAACTCCAGTTCATCATCTCCCCTTAACAGCTCACATCTTATCACCACCAATCCATTCCTACTGCCCTTCCCCTAGAGCAGGCCTCCTGGTCTTTTGCAATAGCTTCCCAACTAATCCCCCCATTTCCATTCTCTCTTGCAAAAGCATTCATTCATACATTCAAAAACTATTTATTGGGTGCCTGTTATGTGTTAGGCATTGAGCTTAAAAAATACAGTGTGAGAAGTTGAATAACAGGGAGACTATGGTTGCATATAGCATGAGCATCTAAACTGATCCATTTCCACACTGGCTGACCAGAAAGAAGTATGTCAAATTCACATCTGATCTGGACTCCACCTGCTAAAAACCATTCTTCCATGCCTCCCCCACTGCCTTTAAGCTTCAGTTCCCAAACCTGGCTGGAACTTAGTCACTTAGTAAAGTTTATAAGCACTCAAGACCACCTGACTTACTGAAATCGAATTTTTAGAAGTTGAGGCCCAGAATGCCCCATGTGTTTCTGGTGTACAGTTGGTTTGGGAACTACACTGTCCTAAAAGATAAATCTGAACTCCTTAGCCAGGGACTCAAGACCCTCTGCAAATCTGGCTCCCGACAACCACTCCAGCTTCATTTCTTGCTGCAGTCCCCTTTCCCCAGCAAACTATCCGCTTCAGTATTTCTGAATTGCTTTGCTGTTTACCTTCAGGCCTTTTTGCATACTGTTCCCACTAGGTGGAAATTTCTTCCACTTCCTTCTCACTTGGCCAATTCCTACCAGTCCCTCAAGACTCAGTTCAGGTGTCACCCCTTAAACTAGAAAATGCCTTTCCCCAATCTGTTAGATGCCCCTTTTTCTGCGTTGATCAGTGTGCTTTACTGCTGTTTATGAATTGCCTCCCCAACAAGACTGTAAGCTCAAGGGTAGATTAAGAGTTTGCTCAGTGTGCCACACTGTGACTGCCAAAGAGTGAAGTGCCCAATTAAAGGTAGATAGATACTCTTGTGGAGTACTCTTCAACTCCCCAGACTAAGGGTTCTGAGTACAAGGGAGTCAACCTAGAGTCCTCCAACAAGCTCTAGGCATTGCCTGAGGATAGTAGGAGGCAGTGTGGAACACTGGGAAAGAGTGCTGGGCAAGCACTAAGGAGATCTGAGTTTAAGTCTAGGCTTTGCCACTGAACAAGTCATCTCACCTCCGTGATCCTCAGGACTTAAGTTCTCTAAGCTCCTTTGTAGCACTATGTTCCTGTGTGCCAGGGCCTTAGCCCAAGGCATCATATGTAATCCTTCTCACTCCCTGTAAGGCAGGGAGGGATTAGTTATCCAGATTATTATCCACACCTACTGAATCAGATTCCCAAGGGCAAGACCAGAGAAATTTTTTTAACAAGCCTCACATCCATTGGATATGGAGGTGTGGCAAGGGACTGCTGCTTTTCATTATAAGCCCTTCTGTACTATTTCATTTCATGTATATGTTGCTTTGGAAAAAAAGAACCTTCACCAAGGATTTCTGATACACAGCCAAAGTTGACAACCACGTGCATAGTGGAGAAATCACTAGACTGAATTCGGGGACCTGGGTTCAAATCCAAGCCATTATCTGCTAACTGGATCACTCTTGCTGACTCACTTAACCTTTCTGGCCCTCAATTTCCACACCTGTAAAGTGGGGGAGAATAGCAATTGCTACCTCTAAAGGCCTGTAACGATCCTGGCACTAGCTAGATTGCTTTAAACATATTTCATTTAATTTTCTCTGCACTGCAAGGCAGGTGCTTATTATTTCTTTTTACAGATGGGGAAACTGGTCCCGAGAGGTGAAGTAACTTGCCCAAGTTTCTACAGCTAGGATTTGAACCAGGTCTGACGCCCAAGTTGTGCTGTTCCGTATCATCCAGCATTTCCCAAAGTATGGTACATGTAGCACTGGTGGTATGTGACTTTTTGGTTGAACACAGACAAATTTAGTTTGTTTTAATAACTATGCATTTTAATATATAGTAGAAAAATACATAATCAGCACATCAAACCCGTGATTTCATGGATATCACTGCTTAGGATGAAACTAAAGTAGGTAACAATGCTAGGCTGAGGATAACCCCAGGAAAAATATTGAGTAAACAGAAGGGCAATTTGGAAGTATCCATCAAAAACAAAAATATAAAAATCCTATGACTCTGCAATTCCACTTCCAGCTATCATCCCTAGGTAAAACTTTCACATATGTTCTTTCACACACACTTTCCCACATCTACAAGGATACTCCATGTAGTACTTTGCATTAGCAAAAACTGAAAACATGTTAATGTCCATCACAAAAGAAATGGGTACGTGAAATGTGGTACAGTCATATGATGGCAATCTATGCAGAAATTACAAAGAAGTACATCTACATGTAGCAACATGCATAGGTCTCAAAAAATTAAGCAAGCTGCAGAACAATTCAATATACCATTTCATCAAGCACAATATTTTCAATGAATTCACATCTGTATGTAAAAGTATTAAAACAAAGTCTAGATGGATGTACAACAAACATAACAGCAGTTAAACACGAGGAGGGGGAAGGGATCAGGATCAGAAGCCGCAGTCAAAGGAGGCTAGCTTTATCTTTAACCACCTAATTTCTTAAAAGGAGACTGGATTCATGCATTACTTGGGTCATTAAAATTGATTTAACTTTTATAACACAAAAATATACAGACTAGAATAAGCCAAAAGTCTGACAGTGTATGTGAATGAGTGAAGGCTGAACTCACTGCACCAGGCTTTGCTGCCTCTGCGAAGTCCCAACAACTAACCAGATTAGCTCACAAAAGGAACCTCGCAACATGTTATGCTGGGATGTGGCACAGGCTCTCTCTCCCCTACTTCCTCACAACCCATGTTGGGGCTCAGGAACTGTTACTACACATGGTTGAAGCTATAGGCTTCCTTAGGCCCTTCACTTATCAGGCAAACCCCATCAGTGCTGTGGGACTTTCCCAGCAACCAGGGCATTCAGCAACTCCAAGATTTGGAAGCTCCTACTGTTCCTAAGAACCAGGATCAGAAGTCCTCATGGTCCAGGCATGAAAAGGTTTGTATTCTGAGGAGTCAGCACCTAGTGAACTCCAGGCACGGATAAGGCCTCCAGTGAGGAGCTTGACATCATTAAATCCTATGAGGTAGGTAATATTGTTAGACCCATTTTACAAATGAGGAAACTGAGGCACAGAAAGGTCAAATGACTTGCCCAAGGTCAAACTAGTAAGTGATAAAAAATGGGACTAGAACCTGTAACTGTCCCTTGCTCTGCTCCTAGTGCCTGATCAAATCCTACTAATTTGTCAAGGTCCCATTCAAATGTAAACTTCTCTAGGAAGCCTGAAGGTGATCTTACTCTTCTAAAATACAAAGTACCCTTACATATGACATTCTATTAATCAGTAATTCATGAGCCCATTTTCATCTCCTTACTAGGAGGGTAGCGATCACGTCTGGTTCAGCTCTGTATTCCTAGCATACAGCCTGACAAATAGTGGGTGTTCAGTATGTGTTTGATGAATGAGTGAATACATAAATGAATGAATGAATGAATGAATGAAGGCAGTTTCAGGTGACTGCCTAAGAATCCTATGAGGTCCTGAGTACCTTTGTGTAGCTCTGACGTGCTGTCATCCTAAGCTCTCTTGGAATCAAATTCAGCCTAGGCTCCTTATAAAACAAGTCTCCAATACCTTTATTAGTTTGCAAACACACCCACATACACACGAGTACACACATATACCCACACACATATACCTACACATACAGTGGGCAAGGGGCCCATGATTATGGGTGATGGCGCGAGGGGACAGGAAGCAGGAAGTGGACAGATGGCCCTGTTCAGCTCAGTTCAGTTCAGCTCAGCTCAGCACCTCCTTCCAGAGGCCAGGATGCTCCCTGTAGCTCAGGAACTTTTGGTCCAGACCTAACGTCACCTCTGTTCTTCTTCATGCCTGACAGCAGTGCCTAAATTCCCATGACTATACCAAACATGGCCAGGAGGTAGGGGAAGGTGGGGAGCCAAACAGCCAGAGATTGGGAGAGGGGCAGCTGAGGGATCCAGACAGGGTGGGAGGGCAGAACTACTGCTACTGCTCATTGGGGTTAGGGTTGGCATCTGGGTACTTGGTGAGGTCGAAGGTCAGGACTTTGCTGATCACACAGTCCCCTTGCTGAAGGAGAAGGGAGAAAAAGAAAAATATAAGGAGAGAATTAAGAGGGGTCTACCACCTCAGGACCGGGGACCTCAAACCCTCCTCCCTACATACCTGCCTAAAGCCCAGGCAAGAGGTGTCTCTGGGTGTGAGAGGATGTGCTTGGTCCCATATGCCTTCTATCCCTGCCTACTTCCACACTCACCTCCTTTTCTCCACTGTCTGGTTGCCGCTGCCTGGCCTTTCCACCTGTCCCCAAATGTAACGGCCCTGCCCAACTGGGCTAGCTAAGCCTCCAGGGCCAGGCTCCAACAAGCCCAGATGGCAGTTCAGGATCTGATTCCCTATACTCTCCGCCCACCTTACCCCTCCACTGCAGTTTTCCCTTCCTACCCTGGGGAGTCAGCCAGGCAGTGGGGCTGGCTCCTAAGCCAGGCCTGCCCTACCTCAGGATAGACTCCAATGAGGCTCTCAGCCTTGGTGTAGAACTCCTCCTTGAGAGAGATGACGATGGCCTGGAAGTTGCAAGTCGACTGCTCCTTGATGTAATTTGCCACCTGTGGGAGGGGCCGCTGGGTACTTAGCAGGGCTCAAGCCCTAACATTCCCGTCTTTCAGTCAGAACCAGTAGGCAGAGGAGGTGAGATGGGGGTGGAGCGTAGGGAGAAGAGAGGCTGAGAGAAGGAGGCCACTGGACAGTACCACAGCATGGATGACCCTGGGCCCAGCCTCCCAGGCACAGAGGGCAGGCAACAGGAATGGCTAGGGTGCACTCAGGAGTTGCTCCCTGAAACCCAGCCCCAACCTAGGGGCCTCCCTCCCGGGCCCCCACTTTCCTTGTACCCACCTTGCCAATGTTGGTGTTATCCAGGGCAGCATCGATCTCATCCAAGACGAAGAAGGGGGCTGGCTTGTAGCTGGGAGGGAACCAGTAGGTGAGCTGACACTGAAGCGGGGGCAAGGAGGGGTGGGACAGCCCCAGGCCCCATCAAACAGGCCAGCTTCCCCCTTCACTTCTTCAGAGACTAAAAAACCCAGGTCCTAATGTTGCCTGAGCCCCTAAAGGCCAATGAATCAACCGAGCCCTCCTCTGAACCCAGCCCTGTGCTCCAGGATCCTGTAGAAGAACCAGAAGGGGGAAGAAAGCTCTCCTAGGTTCTGGCCAGATTGACCAAGCTGTCTAGAGTCTGCCCAGTCCCCCTCCTCCATGCTGTCATCTTCCTGCCTCAACACATGCTACACCCTCTGTTTAGAATGCCTGCTGGTCTCCCTGGCAAACTTCTATTTCGTCTTTATGTCTCTTGCTCTTGAAAGCTTTCCCTAGCCCACCCACACCCTCCTCCACATTGGATTAAGTGTCCCTCCTCTGTGCATCCACAGCACCATTGCTCACCTCAGTAACAATACTTAGCACACTGTCTGTTTACACGCCTGGTTTCTACTAGATTGTGAGCTCCTCCAGGACAGACACCGTGTTTGACTATCTATATCCAATCCCTCCACAAGGTCTGGTACGAGCAACCCTCAAGAAATGCCTGCTGCTTAAGCATTATGCTTTCTTAAGAACTATCTATATGGGATCAAAGTGACAACAGCAACTTGAAAGATTAGATAGGAACCTTAGGAGGTAGTGAGTTTATATTAATGGGGGAGGAACAACTCAGAAAAGGAGGGTGAGAATGGTTACACAACTCTAAGAACGTAATCAATGTCACTGAATGGTACATATAGAAACGGTTGAATTGGTATATGTTTTGCTACGTATGTTCTCAACAACAAAATAAAAAATTTTTAAATAAATAAATAAAACATTTTAGGTAGAAAAGAAAAAGAAGTGCTTGCTGAATGACGCTGCATAATCAAGCACTAAGTTGTGTGGGTCAGACTCAAGTACTATGGACATTCAGGAGTGGGAAGTCAGGGTATGCCACAGTGGTCAAAGAGGGCTTCCAAGAGAAAGGGGAGGGGAGAATACGGAGGTGTGAAGGGGTGGAAAGTGACAGTCAAGCTAGATTTGCACAGAAAGGGCTTATTAGACAGCAACCATGTGAACAAAAGCCTGGAGGTGGGACTGAATATATGCAGGGGCCAGTACAGACATGCTGAGTGGATGAGGATACACAGGTGAGACAGGTCCAGGAAAACCAAACCAGATACACTGTAGTTGGTAGCGAAACAGGGATGCAATCCAGATTCCACTAGAACGTCTTCACCTCCGAAGATCTCTCCATATTCTTGTGCCCCAGAGCCTCTAGTAGCCTCAGTTCAGTCTCTCCACCAACTGCTCTGGGGAGTAGCCTTACCTGTGGATGGCAAAGAGCAGGGCCAGAGCTGCCACTGTTTTCTCCCCCCCTGACAAGTTGTCCATAGGTCGGAAGCGTTTGCCAGGAGCTACGCAGTTATAGTTGATGCCATCCAAGTAGGGCTCCTCAGGGTTCTCAGGGCCCAGGAATGCCTGGAGGGGGAAGGCAGATAGGTTAGGATCTGGATCTAGGGTCTGGATAGGAATGGGGACAGGAAGTCTAGAGGGAAGGGCAACTGAGGATGGTAGGAATTGGCTGAGTAAGGGGCTCCAGCATACCTGGGCGCTGCTGTTGCGTGACAGGGCCTTATAGATCTCATCAATGTTGGTGGCCACAGATTCAAAACAAGCATTGAAGCGGTCAAAGCGCTCCTTCTTGATTTGTTCAAATGCCTGCTTGGCCTTCTTGGCTCGCTTTCGGGCTGCCTCAAACTCTGTCACAAGGGAAAGACAGGTGACTCCTCAGTGCCTGGTTCTGCCAGGGCTGGGGACCACATCCCGGCAAGAATGATCTGCAAATGACAATCTGCAGAGTAGGTACATTCCACAGAGGGACAGAAATGCCTGGAGAGGGTCCCAAGAAGAGGTTACCACAGACTCTGCTTCCAGTGGGCCAACCCCACAGGGTAGAGGAAGAAACATGGGCTTGGAGCCACATAAACACAGATCCTCCCTGGACTCTACCAGCAACCAGCTGTACCACCCTGGACACACATTTCATTTTCCCTCTCTGAACCACAGCAGTTTTCTACTCTATAAAATAGGTGTTATGTATGACCCCTACTGTTTAGGGGTCTTGGGAGTTATAAATAAGAAAGCATGTAAAAATGGGAATGGTTGTAATGTATAAGGACAACCTCTGCCCTCATCTCAGGCCCAAACAGAAGGGGGAATCTTACCATCTGAGGTCTCCTGGAACTTGTCTCGGACACTTTCCAGCTTTTCCATGGCCTTCATGTTGGGGGCAGCAATGCGTTGGAGTACACTCTGCTGCTCATTCAGCTTCTGCTGCAGTGTGTTCATCTCCTGCTTGATCTCCTCCTCAGCCTGGGCATCCTGTAAGGCCCAGGGCCAGCAACATCAAGAAAGGCTTGGCCCCTGTGCTCAGGCCCCCACAGAGATGCTTTACTGAGTGGGCCTTGGGCACCTGCTCCCATGCAGAAGGCAGGTTCTTCCTCCTCAGCTCAGCTCTTCCCACCAGGCCCTGCCTACAGTAGCCATTCCCACCATCCCTGGAAATTATAGGCTAATGCTGCTTTCTCATCTCTAGTCCTTCCCCAGGCCCTGCCAACGTCTTTTGTCTTTCAGGAGGCGGTACCCCTCTCTGGCTCTCAGCCAATGTCATGAGCCAGCAACATCCCAGGATGACCTAGAGGCTCCCACACAAGCTGCTCTGGAATTTGCTTACAGCTCCACAATGAATAAGGTAACTTACCTTTTCTGCTCAGATCACTACAGTTGAGCAAATTCCACTTGAGTTTGGTTTTACGTCTATGGATATTGCATATGCATGTCTGGGCCTGTGCCTTTCTGCCGCTTTTAGTCAAAAATATTTACTGAATGCCTACTACGGACCAGGCCATGGTCCCCATGCTCACAGAGCTCATGGGTCTAGCAGAGGCATGCATGTAAGTAAGAAATCAGAATACTGTATAATGAACGCTAAAACAAAAATAAGCAGAGAATGTTGGGTCCGCACACAAGAAAGGCACCTAACTCAGACTCGGGCCAAGGAAGGCTTCCAGGAACATGTCTATGCTAAGGCCTATAGAATGAATGGATGAGGACAGAGAGAAGGAACAGTGTTCTAGGCAGAAGGGAACATCACATTCAAAGGTCAGGGGTTATCCTCGAGGAATTTAAAGCAATTCAATATGGCAATTGTGTGTCTCTGTGTGTGTGTGACTGTGCATGTGCACAGTGTTCAGTGAGGGCACAGGAAGAGATGAGGCTGGAGAGACAAACAAAAGACACATTATGAAGAACCTTGTTAAGAGGTTTGGACTTTATCCCAAGGGAGGTGAGGGAGGTATCCCTAAACAGTTTCAAACACAGGAAGGGCGTGAACAGATTAACATTTTAGAAAAGCCCTTCCGAAGATCTCTATATACTGCTACAGAGTGGTCTCCAGGATATATTTTTAAGTGAAATATGAAAGGCACACAATAGTATGCTATCTTGTATCTAAGAAAGGAGTGGCAGGAATATTTGTATTTTAAAATCACAACAAGAAAAAAGGATAATCCAAAACCTAATTAAAATGGCTACCTATAGAGTAAGGGAGGGAACAAGGAAGATGAAGGGGACACAACAAGCCAGACTTGTCTTCACGTACCCTGTTCTATACTTTTGGTTTTAGAACCATATGAAAATATTATATGATTATAAAACAAAATTAAATCAAAATGTGAAGATCACTGTGTAAAAAATTATTGGGGAACAGGATATTCACAAGATGTCAAAGAATCACCCTAACAATTACTCACTGATTGCAATGGTAAAAATCTACATTTAGAGTTGAAAGAGCTGGCAATGAACACCTTAACTAAGGGATCAAACTTAACATCACTACTAGTAGGACATCCTGACATTACATGCTTCCTGATGTGGTGCAATATGAAGTACATGGCATCGCCAATGAAGTGTTCTTGTCCCAAAATATTTAACCTGAATCTATCAAGCCTCTGGACTAGACCAAACTTCCCATTTATAGGAAATACAAGGGTTGGAAGAGCAAGTTAAACAATACTGTAAGGAAATCAACATACCCGTAATGTGGGGCATTCTACAAGACAACTCACGTGGACTCTTCAGAAGGTCAATGTCATGAAACAACAAAAAAAAAGTGAGGGGACTATTCTGTATTAAAAGAAACAAGAGAAGAAATACCAAAAGCAATACATGAATCTTGATCGAATCATAGTTTAAAAAAAAAACCTACAAAAAAATACTTTTGGAACAACTAGGGAAATTTGAATATGGATATTATGGAATTGTTAATAATTATTATTAATTTTCTTGGATATAATATGGAATTGTGGTTATATAGGAGAATTCCTTGTTCTCAGCATGCTGAAGTATTTAGGGTTGGAGTATCATGAGGTCTTCAACTTCCTTCAAATGGCTCAGTAAAAACCAAAAAAAGTGCATATGTAGTGGGGAAAGAGGCTCCTCCAACCCTTCTATTTCCTGTAAATGGAAGTTTGGTCTAGTCTAGAGGCTTGATAGATTCAGGTTAAGTATTTTGGGGCAAGAATACTTCATTGGTGATGCTGTGTACTTCATATTTGTACCACATCAGGAAGCACATAATGTCGGGATGTCCTACATGTGATGCTAAGTTTGATCTCTTAGTGAAAGGGAGAGAAGAAGACAAGAGAGATAAGAGACAAAGCAAATGCAGTAAACAATTCATTGGTGAATCTAAGGTGAAAGGTATATATATGGGTGTTCTTTTAACTCTGTTCTAGGTTTGAAAATTTTCCAAATTAAAGTTGAGAAAAAAACCATAAATCAAAATGCTAAATAGAGAAATTCCTAAAAATCGAAAAAACAAAACAAAGAAACCTAACTACATGCCAAGTTGGTTAAATACTGAGAATTATTTCAAATTACAACATAGGAACGTACATGCCCACTGAGACATTAGCTTAATGTCAAAAAGAACCTCAAAGAAATTTTAAACATTATTCAATAATCAAATTGTTAGTAATAATATCTTTAAGATAAAATTTGTAGTAAAATATATATAAGAAAAGATTTGCCATTTCAACCTTTTTATGTGTGTAATTCAGTGACATTTATTATATTCACCATGTTGTGCAACCATCACCATTATCCATCTCCAAGTTTTTTCATCACTCTTTACAGAAACTCCGTGCCTCTTAATAACTCCCTCTTTCCTCCTCTCCTGATAACCACTCTGGCCTCTATGCATTTGCCTATTTTAGATATTTCATGTAAGTGGGATCATACAATATTTGTCCTCTTGTGTCTGATTTCACTCAGCACATTTTCAAGGTTCATCCATGTCATAGCATGTATTAAAACTTCATTTATCTTTATGGCTGAATAATATTCCACTGTATGTATATAGAGGATCCCTGGTAGCACAGTGGTTAAAGCACTCAGCTGTTAACCTAAATGTCAGTGGTTCAAACCCAACAGTCACTCTGTGGGAGAAAGATGGGGCAGTCTGCTTCCGTAAAGATTTACAGCCTTGGAAACCTTATGGGGCAGTTCTACTCTGTCCTTTAGGGTCACTATGAGTAGGAATTGACTCGATGGCAGTGGATTTGGTTTGGCTATGTATATGCCTCATTTTGTTTATCCATCCACCTGTTGATGGGCACTTAGGTTGTTTCCACCTTTTGGCTATTGTAAATAATACTGCAATGAACACTGGTATACAAGTATCTGTTTGAGTCTCTGCTTTCAAGTCTTTTGGGTATATCCCTAGCAGTGGAATTGTTGAGTCATGGCAGTCCTTGGGTGGTGCAAATGGTTAACCTGCTTGGCTGCTAAATGAAAGGTTGGAGGTTTGCATACATTCAGAGGTATTTCGGAAGAAGTCCTGGCAATCTACTTCCAAAAAACCAGCCACTGAAAATCCTGTGGAGCACAGTTCTACTCTGACACACATAGGGTTGCCATGAGTCAGAATCGACTTGACGGCAACTGGTTATGGTAGCAATAATATCTTATCGTGATTTTCAAACTACTATACATACAGTAAGATAAAGTAAATATGTTATTATGTTAATGCTGTTAGGAAGCAAGATTTTCAGCAAGAATAATTAGAGACTCAAACAAAATCAATGATGTTAAACTGTGAACATTTCAATTTCAATCAGAAGTATCAATATGAACTCATGATGCATTTTCCTTTCAAAATAAAATATGTATTTCGTAGCCAAGTCTACTAAAAAGTTTTAGAAGCACTGACCAACTCTGCAGTCATGAGCACTCTACTATCCAGATGGCAGTCATTAAACAATCCCACTAAAAGAAGCCAGAGATTCTCGGTGAAATAGCTAAGTATAGGTCTGGGGCAGAAAATGTAGAGGATGAGCCTGGACTATTAGATCATATCAGAAAGCAAGGAAGGTATCAAAGATTACAAGGGTTGCAACAAAATGATTCTGAAGACAACGTGAATAAGTTCCTACTGGCCAAAGACAGGAAAACTTGAACACCAAAAAAGATAATAACCACAACAGATTAAAACACACCAAATACATTTATATGTGTAAGTTCATAATTACACAAAAATAACTCAGTGGACAAATCTTGAGAATGCTAAGGAACGAACTCATTAGTTTATAAGCTGGTAAATAAAGGGAGAGAATCAAGCACACATTTTGCCTTTCCTATGCAAACTGTACCTCAGGGTAACCAAACAATTGATGAGAGGAAGTCTATATATAATATTCCAACTAATAAACAAAGAGAAATGATAGAATTAGAAGATTACCATTTTGCAACCCATGATGAATTGCTGGATCTAGGCAATGACCATTGTGGCTGCTAAACGCAAAAAAAAAAAAAAAAAAAAAAAGGCGACAACCAGACATTATGTACCTCCTGATGGAAGTAACATGACTACCTATGAAGTAGCCTTGACCAAAACAAACAAAATCTGAATTTGATCAAGCCTCTGTCCAATACAACAGCCACTAGCCACATGTGGCTAAGCTTGTAAAAATTGGCTACTGTGACTGAGGAACTAAACTTTTTACTTAATTAAACTGAAAAACTGATACTCGATTCAGCTACTGGAAAACTTTTAGGTATATCTGGAACAACTTGGATATGTAGATATTTTTCAATTGTAAATCTTATAAAATCCAAATACAGATAAAGTATGTCTCATGAAAAGTTAAGCATCCAAATTGAGATGTGCTGTCAAGTGTAAAATAGATACTGGATTTTGAAGACTTAGTACCAATAAAGAGTGTTAAATATCTCATCAAGGAAGCCTTTCTCAGCATCTCCATAATGACATTAATCCTGGCTCCTGCCACTGCCTAGTTTCATGTCTCTTTCCCCAATTTAATATGATCACCACATTTTGAGAACCTCCTGTTTGCCAGCTCCCTGGCTGGACACACAATAGAAGTAAACAGAAACATTGTTTACTTGCTAAAATGATACTTTTTTGGGTATATTAGGTTTAACAGACTATAGTATTAAATTTAATTTCTTTTCATTTTTAAAAAATGTGGCAACTATGAACCCCTGAGACTACTGTGCTGAGATAATTTTTAAACTTTAAACCAAAAATAGCCCCTAAAGTCTTCTTAAAGCCAAACAATAGTTTAGTTTAACTAGTAAAAATGTCTGCCTTGAGCATTATGCTTTTTTAAGATCTATATGGGATCAAAGTGACAAAAGCAACTCGAAAGATTACATAAGAAGTTTAGGGGCAGTGAGTTTATGTTAATGGAGGAGGAACAACTCAGAAAAGTGGGGTGAGAATGGTTGAACTACTCGAAGAATGTAATCAATGTCACTAAATGGTACATGTAGAAACTGTTGAAATGGTGTATGTTTTGCTGTGTATATTCTCAACGACAACAAAATAAATATTTTTTTAAAAATGTGGCTACTAGAAAATATTAAATTACACACGTGGTTTGTGTTTTATTTCTATTGAACAGCATTAATCTATACATAACTACCCACTTACAGGAACTATGAGGGAGAACAGATGTTTTGTTTTGTTTTGGGGGTGTATTTTAAACATCACTAGGACATAATCAGCAAAGTACAGAATGTAGAAAACCCTATAGGAGTAATGATCCAATTTCTTAAACAACAAAAAACACTGCAAAGGAAAATAAAAATAGATGGGAGGGGGAATCTATAGATTAAATGAGATTTAAGAGCCATACCAACCAATCATCATACTTATCAATCATCTATCTATATATCTATCAATCTATCTACTTTATTTTTACACAAATAACGTGCACCTTCTATGTTTACTTGCCAACCACGACCCCTCCCAGGAGGTATTTTCGTAGGCTCTGCTACACGTTGCTGATAAAAAAAAAAAAAATCAGCATAGTGTGCTTAGGAAAATACCTGGCAGCGGGAAGGCATGGTTGGCAAACAAACGTAGAAGGCACGTGTTATTTGCGTAAAAATACAGTATCTATCTTACTTGGCTCCCAACCCAAGCAAGCAAACTCTCTATACGTCTGTGTGTGTGCATACGCATGCATGACATTCAGGGAAATGTGAATATTAATTACCATATTAAGGTGCAATAACGGTATTACTTTTTCAAAGGATCCTTATCTCTCTTAGAAATAAATACCAAAATATGAAATGATATGCTGCCCAGGATTTATTTTAAAATAACCAGGTGGGAAGGGGAATGGAGTGTGTAGGGGTGCAGATGAAACAAGTTTGGTCATGAATTGACAACTGCTGAAGCTGGTGATGGCTACATTAGGGACACTGTACTATTTTACTTTTGTACATGAAATTTTCTACAATACAAACTAAAATTAACAACAAAAATCAACTTGAAGTGGCTCCCACTGGCCAAGGATGGGACAATTTGAGCATCAAGAAGAAAAATGACTCCAACAGACTGAAACACTCAAATACATAAGGTTATAATGAATAAGAAAAATCCTCACTGGTTACCTTTGAAGTTACAACACTATCCAAAGTTACAAGGATATCCAACTCATTACTCTGAAAGCTGGTAAATAAAAGCATTAAGTATTTATCCTACCTTTTCTGTACTAACTGTATTTCAAGGGAATATGGGAAAGTTCTCTTCAGAATTCCAACTAATAAATGAAGGGACATGATAGAACTAGAAAATTACCATTTTGAAACCTTTCACAGATCTAGGCAATGATCACCAATGGCTGTTAAAACCAATTCATGAAAGACTGATAGGGAGCTTTATAAAGGATGGATCAGGCTAACAATATGTGAACCTAGTGATAGTGGTTTTTGGTTTATCTAACGTTGTATTATGTAAATTTTCAAACATACACAAAAGTACAGAAAATAATATCATGAACCCCCATGTACCCATTCAAACCCAAAAACCCACTGTGGTCGAGTCAATTCCAATTCATAGCGACCCCATAGGGCAGAGCAGAACTGCCCTATAAGGTTTCAAGGGCTGTAATATTTACGGAAGCAGACTGCCACATTTTTCTCCCTTAGAGAGGCTAGTGGGTTCGAACTGCTGACCTTTCAGTTAATAACTGAGCACTTAACCACTTTGATTATGAATTCATGGCCAATACTGTGCCAGCTATACCTTCCAACTCCCTCCCTACACTCAACTACATTAAAGCAAATCCCAAACATATCATTTCGCCTGTAAATACTTCAGTATGTATCTCTAAAACAGGGTGTTTGAACCTCGGCACTATTGACATTTTGGGCCAGATGATTTGTTGTTGTGGGGAGCTGTCCTGTGCATTTTTGGGCATTTAACAACATCCCTGGTCTCTACCCATTAGATACCACTATTAACACCCGCCCCAGTTGTGACAAGCAAAAATGTCTCCAGACTTTGCTAAATGTGCCCAGGAGGCAAATTCCTACTCTCTCCCGCCAATTGAAAACCACTGTTTTAAAAGAGGACATTTAAAAAAATATAATACCATTACCACTCCTAAAAATATTAACAGTAATTTCTTAATATCATAAAATATCTGGTCAGTGTTCAAACCGTCCTGTTTTAGAAAATTCTTTTACACTTTTTTTCAAATCAGGATCCAATAAGGCACATACATTGAAACTGGCTGCTGTCTCTTCAGTCTCATTTAGTTTATAGGTTCCTCTTCCCTCTCTTTTCTTTGCAATGGATTCAAATGAAGTCCACAAATTACAACTGATTAACTTGTCTCTTTTAGCTTATAACAGTCCCCTCTCCCTCTTTATTTTTCGTCTGCCCATTTATTTACAGAAGAAACCAAGTCTTTTGTCCTTTAGAGTTTCCCACAGTTTGGATTTGGCTAACGGCATCCCTGTGGTTTTAGTTAACACGCTAGCACAGGTGTTTATTGTAATTGGTGGATACAGACACTTGATCAGATTCATGTTTGAGTTTTTGTCAAGAATATTTCATAAGCAATGTTGAACACTGATTAATTTTAACACCACAAAGAGACAACTGACATCATTTGTCTACGGATGTGATGCAAACGGAAGTTTGCAAATACACAGCACCACCTGTGACATATTCTTAGAAAAAAATTGAACCTGAATCCAATCAAACCCTAGATTTAATTACCAGTTTACAGGAAATAAGGAGCCCTGGTAGCGCAGTGGTTAAAGCACTCGGCTGTCAACCAAAAGGTCAGTGGTTCGAACCGACCAGCAGCTCCATGGGAGAAAGATGGGGCAGTCTCCTTCCGTAAAGATTTACAGCCTTGGAAACCCTACAGGGCAATTCTACTCTGTCCTATAGGGTTGCTATGAGTCAGAATTGACTCAATAGCAGTGGGTTTGGTTTTTTGGTTACAGGAAATACTGGGGATAGAAGAACATGTTAAATAACATCAGAGATATGATCGGAAAATTCTACAGGGCAAATGACAGAACGTATTTCTTAAATAAACGGGAAGAAAAAAATAAAGAGGGAGGGGAAAATGTTATAGACTAGAAGAGACAAATCAACCCATTGTAACGCATGGACCTCAGTTGAATCCTGATTTAAACACAGAAACTTAAAAAAAAAAAAAAATTTCATGGGATTTCCATGGAAATCTAAACATTTGCCAAACAGTACGATATTATGAAGTTATTCTTAAAGTTTTCTAGATGTGATACTGTGGTTATGTTTTTTTTTTTTTAAAGAGTCTTTATAGTCTAGATGTTGAGGTAATTATGGATGAAATAATGTCTGGAATTTGCTTTAAAATAGTTCACTGGGTATGGAAAGGGGTATAAGAAATGAAATTGACCATATGTTGCTAATTGTTAAAACTGGGTAATGGGTACCTGGGGTTCATTATATCATCCTCTCTACTTCTATATATGTTTGACATTTGCATAATAAAAAAGTTTTTAAAAAATTAAGTCCCTGTGGCTTAATTTTTATAATGATGAGGTATGGATTATAAAGCACTAGAAATGATTTAGGAAGATCCTGCAGTATAGTCTACGTGAGGAATGAAAGTGGCCCAAAATAGAGAAATAGTGGAAACAGAAAAAAGCAGACTTCATTAGGTATTTAGGAGGTAGAATCACTAGCGCTTGGCAAGTAACTGAATTTGTTATGTGAGACGAGTCAAGGACGATGCTCAGATTTCTGGTTCGAGCATGCGGGTGGCACTGAGGAGCAGATTTGAGAAAGAGGACTGGCGTTGGAGGCACCTGTGGGACCTAGCATAGACATGGCAGCTGAAGCTAGGAGAGTGAGAGATACCGAGGATGACAAAATGCCAAGTAAGAAGGAAAAAGTACCTACAACAGAGCCCTGGGGAACGTTTTGAGGCCTATCCGTGCACTATACAGGAGCATGTTCTCTGTGTGTATATCCAGGCTTAAGATGTGTACATACATGGAAGGGGAAAAGGGGCAGGGACACAAGCAACTGGAAGTGGAGGTGGGAGATGTGCATATGTCTTTGTGTGTATAATCAGGGAGACCCTGGGTCACAACTCAATCCTCCTTTCTTGCCAGCTCTCCCCTCTTTCTAGCCATGGTCTCCATAGGGCCCAGAGGGGTTGACCTTCTCTCTGGACAGCTGGGAAGATGGCTTCCCACCCCACATCTTCCACCCCTGTGACTGATTCTCACCTTCAGATCCTCACACAGGTCACCGTAGTCAATCTCGATGAGGGCCTCTCGTGCATAGATACTGGAAGTTCTCTGGGAACCACTCACTGAATCCTCCCCCTGGGAGCTACCCTGCAATGGTGAGAGGGAGATTCTAATGGAGCAGACTGGCCATGAGAGTGCCTCTGAGGAGGGGGGTGCTGGGGTTCCTTTGCAGCCTTCGATGTCTTTGAGAAAGCACCTTGCTAAAAAGTAGTGTAGAGATAGAACAGCAGCTTTGAAGGCAGAAAGACCTGAGTTCAAAATTGGGTTCTACCACTAATAGGGTGATCCTGGGCAAGTCATACTCTCTGATCCCAAGTTCCTTCACCTGTAATATGGGGACAATGCCTGTCTGGTAGGGCTATAGTTAGGATTAGAGACAATTATGTCATGTGCAACTATGATGCCTGGCACATTTCTGGTGTTCAAAATATTTTACTGAATTAAACAGAAATGCTATTAGGAGGGGAGAGGGAGAAAGACCTGGGAGACTAAGATACACGACCAGGTCTAAGACAAGATATATGCAAACCTCCTCTCAGTTAACATTCCCCACCCCCTCACTACCAATCTTCACTTCCAATGGATACAATGCCTTGGCTCCCCTATTGGCTAGTGTGCCTCTTTCCTATAGCTAAGCTTCCTTACCTCTGCACACTGCTGATGTCCCCTACCCCACCCTCTCCTGGCTAACTTCCCTCAACATAGCTATCAACCCTCAGGTCCCCCCAGCTTCCTGTCTTCCTTTGTTCTTGCTCTTGGCTAATATCCCTCAATTCCCACTCTGATATCCATCACCCAGTGAGGTTAACATAGCTCAAGTTCCTAAAGTTAATGAATGACTTCATCCTCTCCTGGCTTAGTTCCCTCACCACCTGCTGGCATACAGCCCCGCTACCCCCAATTCAACTTCCCTCTCACACCAAGCCTATTACCTTTCACCCCACCTGCCTTCATAACCTCACTATGCTTCATTGCCCCTGCATCCCTCCTATGTCCCTCACCATCCCCTGCCTATCATCCTTCTCTTTCTCACCTGCCCCTCCTGGCCACTGTCATTTCCCATTCCTGGTTAATGTTCACAGCCCACTCCCACCACCAGCAATAATTCTCACCTCTTCCTGACTAATATCGTCCATGGTGCCCTTAGACAGTGGCAACTTGATGTCCTGCATCTTGCAGGCCTGTAGCAGGTTGTGGCGGTCACTGCGCTTCTGTTCAAGCTTGGTCTCAATGGCTGTCACCTCCTTCTGTAAGTGGGTCATTTCCCTAAGAAGGTCCAGGGAGCTAGGTGAGACCCAAATTCGGCAGGCTGCCTGCTCTACCTGCTCTCCCCACCCCAAACCTGAACCCACTCACTTGTTGGCACCTCCCAGTTTCTTACGAATCTCCTCCATCTCGTGATTCTTGTCATTCACCTCTGACTTCTTGGCCAGGTGCTGGTTCTTCAGGTCCTGTAGCTGGGCCATGGTCTCATCTATGATCTTCATGTGTCTCTGCTCCTCCTGGTTCCAGCAGGGGAACAGGACAAGAAGTGAAGGCTTTCCCCAACTCACCTTGGGATCTTCTCCCCTGCCCCCACCCTTTTCACCAGGCAGTTTGTTGGAGCCTCTCTTCAATGAGCTCTGCTTCCACAAACCCCTAATCACCCCTCAAGCCTCCTTCATCTTTTCTGAAATTATTTGGTTGCCTTCTCCCACCCACTCCAATTATACAAGATGCCTGTTGTAGAAAAGTTCAAAGTATACAAAACGTATAAAGCAGGGGGGAAAAAATCACTCATAATCCTACCAGCCAATGATAACCAACTTACATTTTAGCATATTTCCTCCCAGCATTATTTATAGACAGCTTTACATAGTTCCTTCCCATATTATTTATAGACAGTTTTACATAATTGAGACTAGATTGTAATTAAAACTCTATATTCTGACTTAATGTTATTTTTGAGCATTTTTCCACATCAAAAACTGCCTGTCACAAGCAGTATAACATTTATGTTTTTAAAGAAGCACATATAAACAATACTGTACATTTTCTATGAGAACACATATATGAATGCAAAAGTATTCCATTGTATATAAAAGGTCTTTAGTATAAACTAAACCGGGATTGCCTCTGGGAAGAGAATAAGGGACTAGAATTGAGAGTGGTCAAAGGGGATTGTAGCCTTATAATGTTCTGATTTTTTAAAAGGAGAATTTTTTCTTCTCATTTTGATCCTAAAAAGTCACATAAAAGGGACATACCTGCAAGTTACTCTCAGACGGTTCATAAGAAAAACTATGCATATATACAGGAAATAAAAATGTAAATGTGGCAAAATGCTAATGATTGATGAACCTTGGTGAAGGGTATATATGAAAGTTTCTTTGTACTATTCTTGCAACTTTCTGTTAAGTTTAAAACTATTTCAAAATAAAAAGGGAAAAAGTCACACAAATGTATTATTCTGGGTCATCTAGATGTCCACCCAGTCCTACCCCAGATTTTACTGCCCAGGGTACTTAGCATTTAAGATTCTAGTGATACCAAACAGTAAACTTTAGTAGCCAAAGGGTAATGAAACAACAAACATGGGCAGACATAAAAGTCAAACGGTATGTTCAAACCAGGTGATGACCAAATCACTTTAGGAGGGGATGCTGTAAGGAACAAAGGTTTCACAGTAATTTAAAGAGAATAGGTGTTGGAGAACTGAATCATCACATAATACACAGTGGTATGGGCACGTTAAACTAAAAGGAACTGACTTGTAACAGTCAGCAGCAGAGTCGCACCGTGAAAACTGATTCGATTTCAGCAAAACAACATCATCTGTTGCAGTGATTTAACATGGTTAATTTGAATTTTATTAGTTTGCTAGTATTTAATGTGAGTCTGTCTTGATTTTTTTTTTTGTTAAGTGTTTGAAGTATATACATTTGTATATCTTTAAGTAACATTAAAAATTTTTTTTCTGAGCCAACACTGGGGATCTTAGGAATATTTTTCCTTTAAAAGGGGTCCATGTATTACTAAAGTTTGAGCAACACAAATGCTTAATAATGTAGCATAATTTATTAAATTCCTAATTCCCAAGGGGTATTGGCAATTTTCAATTTGGAACTAAATAATGCTTGCAATAAACATCACCCTGTGTGCACAAAGCTCTGACAGTATTTTGGATTATTTCCTCAGGTATAACTGAGAATTCTGAATACTCTTCACAGATGGTGCCATACTGCATAAAGAATACTGGTCTCATGCACTACGGCCAGTACTGAGCATTATCTTTCTTTTAATTTAAATTAGTATGATAGGAAACAAATTATATCTGATTGTTGCCTTAACTTGCATTTCTTTGATTACTCATAAGGCTAAATTATTTGTATGTGTTTATGGACCATTTGAAATCTTTTGTTGAACTGTCTGTGCCACTTAGTTGATTTTTTTCCCCCTTATTTGGGTCTTGGTGTTTTCCTTACTGAAAACACTTAGATGAGAGATTCATAAATTATTGATATCAGCCTTCTGTCCATCTTATCTCTTCCAATATTTCCTCCCAGTGTTTAGCCTGTCTTTTCATTTTCTCCTTCCTTACCTTCTTGAGCTTTTCTATCTCATTCTCATCCTTTTTCACTGTCTGCTCCCACATGTGCACTTTATCTTGGTCCTCCTTTAGCTGGTTCTTTTCAAAATCCAACTGGATGCCCAAGCGAGTCTTCTGATTCTCAAACTCCAAACTGCAGAGAGGAACAGGAACTAGGCTCAGGGCTCAAGGACCCAGAGTAACTGCTGAATGTCAGGCACCACTCAGCTCATCCACCCATATTTGTTATTGTTGTGCGCTGTCGAGTAGATTCCGATTCATAATAACCCTATACGACACAGCAGAAATGCCCCTAGGGTTTCCTAGGCTGTTATGGAAGCAGATCGCCAGGTCTTTTCTCCCATGGAGTGCCTGGTGGGTTCGAACCACCAACCTTTTCAGTTAGCAGCTGAGCACTTAACCACTGCTCCACCAAGGACCTAGAGTTACTACTAAATGTCAGGCACCACTCAGCCCATCCACCCATATGGCCCCATAAAACTCCTCCCTGAAGTTAGGAAATGGAAGTTTCTCAGCCTAGCCCTCTGGACATGGCACAAGGCCAGGGAGACTGAGCTAAATATAAACTCCATTCATTCCCTGTGAACCTTTGGAGGACTCCAACGTTTTCCCAAGTTCCTAGAAGAAGGCACAAAAAGTATCCACCAGCTATGATAATTCGTATTTATTGAGCTTCTGTGCACCTTATACACATACCTCTAATCCTCACAATAGTCCCACAAGTTGGTATTATTATCCTAATTTTACAAATGAGGAAACTTAGGCCAAGAGGTAAGAGACTTGCCCAAGGTCACAAGCTAGTAAATGGCACATGTGAGATTGAAACCCAGGTCTAACATCAGAACTTGGGGTCTTTTTCCTATACTATCATTGCAATATAATGTAGTGGTTAAGAGGATCAGGATCCTGGCTCTGCCACTTACTAGTGTAATCTCGAGCAAGTTAAAATTACACTCTTCATGCCTTAGTTTCCTCATCTGTAAAATGGAAATAATAAAAGTAATGACCGTGGAGTTACTGGGGAGTTTTTTTTTTTAATTAGTTAATATGTATAAAGTCCTTAGAACAGTGCCTGGCATGCAGTAAGTATACAATAAATTTTAGTTTATCATCATCATTGCTGGGTACACTGGTTTTATTCAGCTCATCTTTGCCCAAAGGTTTAGACTCAACAACCACCCCCCGTCTTCCCCAAGATTCCTGAACCTGAACCTCTTAAGGTCTTGGTAGGCTTGGGCAGTACAAAATCATGGACAAAATACTAAGTTCCTCATTTTGATCAAAGATTCTATAGAAGAATCCTGACCAAAAGAGAGAAAATGCAGAACAGAATTTCAAATTCTCTTGACTCCAAACTTTCTGAAGCAATGGATGCTGGATGAACCCCTGAAACTATTGCCCTGAGATAATCTTTAAACCTTAAACCAAAAATACCCCTGAAGTCTTCTTAAAACCAAACAATAGTTTAGCTAAACTAGTAAAAAAAACTCTGCCTTGAGCATTATGCTCTTTTAAGAACTATCTATTTGGGATCAAAGTGACAAAAGCAACTCTAAAGATGACAGGAACCTTAGGGGGCAGTGAGTTTATGTTAATGGCGGAGGAATAACTCCAAAAAGGAGAGTAAGAATGGTTACACAACCCGAAGAATGTAATCAATGTCAATGAATTGTACATGTAGAAATGGTTGAACTGGTATATGTTTTGCTGTGTATATTCTTGACAATGAAAACAAAATAATAAAAAAAATACTGGGTTCCTGCTACTGCCCTCCTTCCCAGCTCTTCAGAAACTCAAAGTATATGAGAATATGGAACTACCATACCCAGACATCAGCAGGCCAAGCAGAGCTAACTTCCAACTGCTTGCCCTCCTTCCCCCTATATCGTGAGACAGATGCTGCCAGATGTCATGCTAGCAGGCTTAAACCCGTTAGTCACTATAATTTAAATAGAATGTAATTAACTCCATAATTTTGAGCTATGTAATTTTAAATTCAATCTCTTAAACATGATTCATAAGGCCCTCTGTGATCTGGCCCCTGCTGACCTCTCCACCACTCCCGCCTTTCTCCTGACCCCCTTTCATGCTCCAGACATTCAAAACTACTTAGCTTCCAGAACAAGGCATGTTATCTCACACCTCCAAGCATGCTGTTTTTGCTGCCTGGAAATCCCTTCTTCTGTCTGCTGCCTGGCTGGCTAAATCCTACTCACTCTTTAGGTCTCCAGTTCATCACTCTTGTTCTATGAAACCTTCTCTGACTATTCTGAGCAGACTGAGAATTTAGTTTCTACTGCCCATTACTGGGTTCCTCCCTTTGTGGACTTAAGGTCCAAAGATGAGTTAATCATATCTCACAGTTCATAATACACTTATTGTCTATGCAAGACCCTTCCTTGTCCCCTTTGTTTCAATCCCTAATTCCAACTTTCATTACCTTCCCTACTGTGAGCACGTACTCTAAAGTGACATACACTTATATGTACGTATATATCCTTAAAAATGCATATCCTTATGTCATTTTGTTTTTAAATTTACGCAAATGGATGGTGTTATAAATTTCACTTTCTTACTTTTTAAGTCACACCAGATTTATAATTTATCCACGTTACTGCCTATAAATCTAATTCTTGCTTTGAACTCCTACACAGTATTCCATAGTCTGTATATTCATCACATTTAACTTACACTTTCCCCCAGTGATGGTCATCTACATCGCCACCAACATTCCTACTACCACAAATTATGCCAAGATGAACAACCTGAATGGGTCTCTTTGTGACTCTGTGGCAAGACTCTCTCTGGGATATATATCTAAGAGTGGGCTGCTAACTCACAAGGCATATTTAAACTTATTTTCACTAAATACTGCTAGGTTGTTTTCGAAAACGACTGTACCAGTTTACATTCTCACCAACAGTACATGAGAGTTCTTGGCTATGAATGTCAACAACACTCATCATTATTCACTGATAAGTACAAAGTGGTATCTCATTGTTTTAATTTGCATTTCTTATACTTATAAATAAGACCAAATATCTCTTCATATTGTTGTTAGCCATTCAAGCTTCTCTTTCCATCAACTGCCAATTCACATCCTCTGCCCATTTTTCTATTGGGCGTCTTGGTTTTTTTTTTCCTCTTGTTGATTTGCAGTTCCTTGAAAATTTCCTCTGTATTTTGAATCTACCTCAATTACAGCATCAATCATACCGTTCTGAAATTGCTGATCTACTTGTTTGTCTCCCCAACTACTCCTGAAGACAGGGACAGTCTCTGATTCAATTCTATATCCCTTGAGCCTGCCTTAGGGGGCAGAAGAGCAATTCATCTTTATTGTATGGGTGAAGAGCTAGCTATTCTTCCAACCTAGAACTTCTTTCCTCCTCCCCTGCATCATCCATCAGGATAATGACAGTGTCATGGATTGAATTGTGTCCCCCCAAAATATGTCAACTTGGCTGGGTCACGATTCCCAGTATTGTATAATTGTGTACCATTTTGTAATATGATGTGATTTCCTTATGTGCTGTAAATTCAATCACTATGATCTAATAAGATGGATTAGCAGCAGTTATACTGGTGACGTATACAAGATTGGACAGTGTCTTAAGCCAATCTCTTTTGAGATATAAAAGAGAGAAACAAGCAGAGACACATGGGAACCTCATACTACCAAGAAAGCAGTGCCAGGAACAGAGTGTGTCCTTTGGACCTGAGGTTCCTGCGCAGAGAAGCTCCCAGACCAAGGAAAGATTGATGACACAGACCTTCCTCCAGAGCCAACAGAGAAAGCATTCCCCTGGAGCTGACGCCCTGAATTTGGACTTGTAGCCTACTGGACTGTGAGAGAATAAACTTCTCTTTGTTAAAGCCATCCACTTGTGGTATTTCTGTTAGAGCAGCAGTAGATGACTCAGACAGACAATAATAACAATATTTTTTGTTCTTAGTATGTGCAAAGTATTATGCTAAATACTTTGTAAGGATTACTTTATCTGATCCTCCCAACAAAGCCATGTGACAGGTACCATTATTATCCCATTTTACAGATAAGGAAACTGGGGCTTAAGAGGTCAAGTCACTGCCCAAGATCACAGTTCATGAGTTGTGGAGGTGGGATTTTAACCAGGTAAACCAAGTCTAACACCGGCACTCTTAACCACTATACTATGCCATACTGCCTCCCTGATCTCCCTGTTATTTAAGGCCTACCTCCAATAAACTGCCATAGTTCTAAGAGCTGGTCCTTGCCTTATGATGACATCTGACTTTTCAAGGATGTCAGGCTAGAGGTTCAGGCATCCTAGTCTCCCCTTCTACTCACACTTCCACCTACCGTTTCTTGGCGATTTCATTCTGCCTCTTCACCTTCTCTTCCTCAAACTCCCGAATGTTGCGCACACCAATCTCCCGACAAAACTCTTCAAATACCTCATCTTCTACCTGAGAGGAGAAGCCAGGGAGGGCAGAGGCCCTTTTAGTCACAGTTCTGCTTGCAGGCTCAATCCTGCCCTGATGCACATGCTGTCATGGCTCACCCCACTACCAACCTGGTTCATCTTCTCCTTCAAGTCTTTCATTTCCCTCTCTCGGCTCTGGATGATCCTTTTGATATCATTGATGCGAGGCCCAAAGTTGGCTAGTTCACTCTCCAGCTTGGACTTTTCCTGAAGGAAATGCAGTTGAGAGGGAAAGAGACCAGGCTCCTCGGAGGAAAAGAGCTACCCTGACTACACTGTCCCCATGGTCAGAAGGAGTGGCTCTCCACACACTTGAGAGAATCTGAACTTAGCACCATTGCCCTAGTCAAATCACCCATCATCTCTCACTTGAACAATCATATGACTTCCTTCCTGGCCTCCAGTTTGACCAGATCCAATTCATAGAGCTGAGCACATAGTAAACACCATTAGTTACAGGTCTACAATTCCTTATCTATAACCCTTGGGGTGAGATATGTTTTGGAATTCAAGCTTTTTCAGATTTTAACAAAAGGTAAAACAATACATATACTACAAATTACTAACACTTCCAGGGTAGTCTGGGAAGCACACCATAATTAAACACATTAATATTTCTGCACGTAAATGTCTCAATAATCACATTAAGTGGTTTAAGACTGGAAATAGCCTCGTATCTATTCAGATCAGGTTTTGGCCACCAATTTATACACACACACACACGCACACACCACAGAAACCACTTTTGTTTTCAGAGCTTTCTGAACTTTGAATTTTGGATAAGGTATTATGGACCTGTATTAGATGAGTGAACAGTTGATAATGTTTGTACCAAACTCCAACAATGCCCTTTCCTATTCCCTTTTCCTGCTTTTTCTCCAAAACACTTACTACTTTCTTACATACCATATCATTTACTTATTTTAACTTCTCTCTACTTGAATATAAACTCCATGGGGCTGGGATTTTTGTGTTTTGTTCACTGCAATATCCCCAATACCTAGAACAGAATCCTCACCTACAGGGATTGAAATGCCTGTAGCTCACTTTCAGAGGAAGCACAAATATTTGCTGAATGAATGAATTATGCTAATAACAGTACCTAATATTTACTGAACACTTACTATGTGCCAGGAACCAGTCTAAGCACTTTACTTGCTGAGAGGAGAGGAGGAAGTGGGACAAGTTCTCCAACCCTGGAGAAACCTAGGCCAGGAATGTGAGAATGGTCTTTGGAGGACAGGGATGGAAGCCAAACCACACCTGCAGATTCAGGGCTAGATGTCGTGTCTTGGTCTGTTCTAGGTCACTCTGTGAGTACTTGAGCCGCATCTGCAGTCCATGGGCCTGAGACTGCACCTGACGCAGCTCTGCCTCTTTCCGTTTTGCTTTCATCTGTTCCTGAAGGAGACAAGAAAGGAGGACTAAGTGGTAAGAAGACAGCCAACCTGGGTTTGGGATCCCCCACTCCCAGGGACAGCACTGCCTGTGGCTTACTTTCAGCTCCTCTGTCAGTCGCTCCTTCTTCTCTTTCAACTTGTCTACTGCTTTCTCATCCCAGCGTCGTGCCTTGGCCTTCAGGTCACTGGCCCCACCAGAGATTACTCCTGACTTCTGGAATAGGGTCCCATCCAATGCCACTGTCTACACACAATAGGGAGAACAGAAGAGGGGTTGAAGCTGAGTAATCTCCAATACTGAGCCTGTCCAGCTCCAGTCTAGGCAAGGGAATCCATACCTTGTGGCGCTGGTGGCCTCCAAAGGCAATGCGGCGGGCATCCTCCACATTGTCACAGACAAGGGCGTTGCCACAAGCATACTGCAGGGCCTTTTTGATGTGAGGTGGCTCATAGCGAATCACATCAATCACTAGCTTGGCCCCCTTGAGCTCCCGGAGTTTCTCATCTGTAGGCTTTACCTGTGAGAAGAAGTTCAGTAAGTGGCAGAACATGGAAGGCTGGGAGGAAGGGCCCTCTCACACTGCCCTGACCCCCACCCCACAAACCTCACCTCCAGGTAGTCAAGAGGCAAGAAGGTCTCAGGCTCTCCACGCTGCTCCTTGATATACTGAATACAGTCCCGGCCTGTCTTCTCAGAGTCTACAATAATGGCATCCATGTTCTTGCCCAAAACCTTGGTTACAGCAATCTGATACTTCTTTTGTGTGGGCTGGCAGAGGTCAATGAGGCGGCCATACTGAGTAAAGTAGGAAGGGAAAAGTGAGGCATGAGGCTTTCAGGAGTTGGCTCAGGAATCCCAACTCCCAGCTCAGAAAGGGGCATAGGCTAGAATCTGTACCAGGAATATAGTACATGCAGTGGATGAAAAGCCCGCTCTGGCCCCAAAGGAACAACTGCAGACAGTCGTGTCTGAATCCAAAATCATCTTTCTAAACCTAACTTTTACCATTTCACAGACCGCTGCCACCCCAGACACTAGACTAGATATCTTTTTTTTTTTTTAATATTTTATTGTACTTCAGGTGAAGGCTTACAGAACAAATAGTTTCTCATGTACCAGCAGCACACATGCTGTTTTATGACATTGGTTAACAACCCCACAACATTTTAACCCTCTAAATTCTCAACTTTTTTTTTTTTGTGGTGAAAATACACATTGCCAAAGATAGACCATTTCAAAAATTTTTACATACACATTTAAGTGACATTGACTACGCTCTTC